ATAACCCCGGAACGGTTTGTCGCAGCGGGTCAAAATTTTGGACAGACGAGCATGGTATCCTCAGATAGTTGTGTGCAAAATTTCAGCTCTCTACTTTCAAAAATGCCTCCTCCACAGCCCCCAGAACTTTAAACACTCATTTTTATTCTTTTCAAACTCGGTCTAAAAAATTTTATCTCCACAGAAAAATTTTATTTTCAAGTATCCGAACCCAAATAAGGCTGTTTGACTTACATCGGCGGACTATACAGGTATTTCACTATTCGAAATGATTTTTATCCCCAATCTAGCTTCAAGGTCCTTTGCATTATCTTGGGTGAACTTTGCCGTCTGGGAAGACGTTGCGTGATCATGAAAATCGCCATATTTATTATTTTACCGCACAAGTTAGGAAAACTTTGTACTAAAAGCGGTTTAAATACACGGTCCACATAATACTTTGCAGGTTCCTTCATTTTTCGGGGGACTTTGATAAGTGGGAGGACATCACGACCCGACATTGCACCAACAACCATAGACTGTTCAAAAAAGTTCTCCTCACTGAAAACCACCAAATTTCTTGAATTTGTTTTCGGCATTTGTCGTGTAGTAAGCTCTTCGAACCCAATTAGTAACTTGTAGAGAAAATAGTTCTTGGTCAAATGTCGCTAAAAACTCACTCTCATTCCTTGACAGAAAATTTAAATAATTGTTTTTGTAAACACGGGTAAGATTTTTGTTGGAAAAAGTTGAAATGGCTGTCTTAACTTCTAAGGGCTGTGGGGGAGGCATTTTTGAAAGTAGAGAGTTGGAATTTTGCACACAACTATCTGAGGATACTATGCTCGTCTGTTCAAAATTTTGACCCTATACAACAAACCGTTCCGGGGTTGTTCAAGGTCAAATTCGTATCCACGTACGTGCCAAACCCTGTATAGCTTTAATGAACTTCTTTACGGGCATATGTAAATCTAATTGGTTTTTTTGTGGACGTATTTAGTACATAAATAATGTGAAATTATTCGCGTACAACTTATGTAATATGTTCATGTCATTCCATTGGTATAAACCTTTACAATTAATTTATCCGTTTTTTGCAGCTTGATCCGAGTGTATCCCTGGAAATTTGACATGAGAAAACGATGGCCAAATCATTCATCATTGGACACCATTATTTTCTTACATATATGTAGGTACATATGTGCATACACAGGTAAGATGATAAGTGACTTGACCAAAGCAGAGTGAAAGAAAATGTATAATTTAACAAATTAAATATTTCTGTTCGATTCGAAGTTAGCTTACTGAAAATTTTTATGTTCATAAATTTGCCGTTAGTTTCTACATATGTACACCACACAATATTTCCACAATGAAAAAATAATTTAAAATCTTCTGCGTAGTGGAGTTATTATTATTTATTAAAAATTGATGTAATTTAAAATTTAGCTAAACTAATCGTTAAAATTTCAAGCTAGTGCAATTAAGCTACATATGTATTTATTTTCTAGACCTAAAGATGCCACATTCCACGGGAGGCTGTGTTGATGGAGTAGTGATAAATAATGTCCTTAAATTGTCCTGGAAAGCAAATCCAAGCAATCCCCAAAGGAACAATCGACCAAGGAAAATAGCACTGATTTATCGTCACATTTTTACCTTGCAGGTAAAATACATAAATTTTACATATTTACATGGCAATTATCTACCAAGATAAGTAATTTTGAATTATAAAGAATTCTTCAGGGATTTCCTCCTTCCTGGGAATACTTTGGATTGATCATTTGGATGGAAGATCTCCGATCGACGCAGGAAGCGTCAATTGCAGAGGAACCCTAAGACAAGTTGCCAAGTTCGTTTATGGAGAAAACGTATGTCTGAACCAAGGTTGCATCATGTGTCCAGGTTTAATCTAATTTATGAAGTTGAAGAATTAAGGATAGTTGGACTTGTTATTGAGATATATTGTGCTGCTTCAATGGTCAGTTAACTACCAAGAATTGGCCCTAAACTTTTTGCAACGTCAAACCCAGCGTAAGCCCCTATTAGACTCTGACCATTTAAATTACCCCATGTCCGAACAGTAAGGCGCATATAATTATACTCCAATGCATTTGCTGCCCCTTGGTAGTAAGGATGACTTCGCATCCTCGGAACACTTGGAATTATCCGACTTGGGATACCAATTCAACCATTACCCTCATATCATATCGTATATCTTGCCTATGTACGCAAAACAGCTGGTACGTGTTTTGTGGAAATAATTACCCATCTACGCCTGCATTTTATGGGTTGGCGAGGGATTTTGCCAACCTGTGAAGCTCAAAATGTATATAAGTACACGCATAATCATCATCTTGGATTCCCCAATTGAATCGGGAATGTTTACGTCTTTTTTGGAGGATTAAGCGTCCTCGCTTACCTTGTCAACGTTTCGGATAGTTTGCAAATGCTCCAGATGGTTAGATGTTGCACCTTCAAGGTATTACCAATTTCTTTTACCCCAGATATGTTAATTTTGACAACGCGTTTTTCCTGAGGTTTATCGTGTGTCTGATGAAGACCATTCGGGCGCCATTAGATTTTGAAGATTATATCCTTCCAACTTGTTCCACTACGCTTTGAACATTTCTTCTGGCAATGATTTGTCTCCAAACAGGCGAAATAGGCTAATAATCGTCGAGCACGTACCCCCAAACCCTTGTCTGTTATTTACTTCAATTAAGGTGATAAACCCATACATTTCCGCCTAAATAATGTGATGACAGTGTGAAGTAATTAAATGGTTGGAGCAGAACAATTCTCATTAACTACGCTCGCCGGATTTTTGTCAATGACTGCATCATAAATTCGGTTAATATATGCTTTCGGAGGTTCCTTATTTAATGCAAAGAATGTGGTGCGAAGGTATGTATGTGCGAAAATGGGCATTAGCAATTTTTTTCCGCACATCGATGTATATGATTTCATTCGCCAGGAATTATATCATTTGCGTAAAAAAAATGATTTGCAGACTTGGCAAATGAAGTCCATCTATAACAAAGCCACCCAGTAATTATATTTATCCACGGCTACATAAACATCTACCCGTTGAATCATGAATCTGTTTCACATGTGCTTGATTTCTATCAACCTTCGTGCTTGGGGTATTTTTGATAGTCCGTTCCACGAAAACCCTCAGCGATGACACTTGCCTCGTTCATATTCTACAGGAGTGGTCGGATTCTGGAGCGATCCATTTATCCACTAAGTTTGTCAAAATTTGTCCCTGGGTAAACATTAAATCTTACAAAATGCGTGCTGTTGTTACTACTAACTTTTCTGCCTTAGAGGAAAACTGTTTTGCTTCCTCGGAATTGATCATCTCTTGCGCAATATCCATTATTAGTTGATCCTCTAATGTTTGGCAAATGTCAATTTATTTGACGTTAGGGAAAGCTCGAAAGTATTGCAGCTCGTATTTGATCAGGTATATTCCAGAAGACGATGAATCCCGTTGTTTGTTGGGACGGTCCATTTTTTTGTGTATGTGGTTCGCAAATTCCATTTAGGGTGAAAGATTTTTAAAAAATTGGTTAGGTTATCTGTGCTATTCTTTACATAATTTGGCTCGTGATCAAGAGGATCGTATAGTTGAAGGGTTCTTGTCTTCATTTCGACCGTGGAAAAGTGATTTCAGTTTTTTTCCCGCTATGAATTAAATTATAGAGGATGCGTACTTATATCGCCGGTACTTCTCTTTCTCCTTAGCTACATGGTCCTTCCCTAGAGCTTTAACCCTTGTCCTCTGCTTAGCTAAAAGTATTTCCAACATTTATTATGCGAATTCATGACACTTGATTAATGTAAATTCTAAATGTCTGTATGTAATGCTACCCAAATTTCCATGTTGGTCAGTTAAGATTTCCGAAACTATATTTCGAAATTTACTCTCCAAATTGGATGTGGTAATTTCACCACCCTCAGTTCCGGACGAATTCTGCATTTCGGGTCTGCAAACAATTGGTAAATGTTTTATGGAACTTACAAAATGCATACAAATCCTTCGAGGTCGTTTATCCTGCTTGCGAATTTCGGGAGTTTCTACTAATTTAATTATTTTACACAATTTTATAATAAAATATTGCATCATGATAAATGAATTGGCTTTTATACTGGCATACCTTCGTCTTGTTTGTTTGGCATTCTCGCTTTGCATACTGGGTTTGCTCGAGTTTTTCAGGTTACTAAATAAGTTTCACAATTTTTTAGGTCACTAAATAAGTTTCACGAACTAGTTACTATGATATTTTAATGAATTTTTCCAAAATAAGTTACTTACTTGCTCTGCAGAGATTTTATTACGCTGGGGTCTTGTAACTTTAGATTTTTGATGAATAACTCTGCATCCTCTCCAAATTTTGCCAAAAACGGTTTGCGTTCCTCGGAGTTAATCATCTCCTTTGCAATATTCATTCTGAGCTGATCCTCTGTTTCATTTTGGTGGATTTCAATTTGCTTGATATGTGGGAAAGCTTGATAGTATTGTAGCGCGTATTTGATTGTGTAAATTCCACATGATGAATAATCCCGCTGTTTAGGACAGCCTGGGAATTCCACCGTCCATTTTTTTTTTGCTTGGGGTTCGCCAACTCTTCTCTGGATGAAAACTTCTTCAAACAAGTGGGTTAAATTATCTGTTATATTCTTGAGATAATTTTTGTCGTGATCCAAAGGATCATACAGCTGAAGAATTCTGGTCTTCACTTCGACCGTGGTCAGCAGCCAGTGGTCCCCATGACGTAGTGGGTGCATGATGTGAGTATGCTCTGAAGAATTAATTTTGGAAGAGACTTTTGGGACAACACATTGTGCTTATGGCTGTCCCAAAAGTCTCCTCCAAATTAATTCTTTCAACTCCTTGTAGTTCCTTGAAAAAAATTCGGCGACAAAAATAATTTACCACGTCACCCCCTACTTTTGCACGCTTTATTCAATAAAAATTATATCACAGCGTTAAAAAAATTATTCGGAAAGGTACGCGGTGCAAAACTTTACGGCCTTTAATTCCCCATTTGAATAACATGTCCCAAAAGTCTCTTCCATATGTCGTAAAGTTTTGCTTTTGACTGTATCAACAATATTGTCGCGAAGTTCTCCATTTGTCTATTGTAATTATATAATGGAACATGGATAATAATTATGTAAATATGAATGTAAGCAATCAATCAATAATGTACTGATTATGATAAATATGTTCCCATTTTCCATAATTATTTTAAAAACCGAGTAGCATTACTTATGCGTCGCACAAAATTTGTCCCAAAGTTGTGGGACAAGTTTTGTTCTTTGCAAGGAAAAATGCATCTACATTTTTACATGAACTTTTTGTGAAAATATCTACGCCAGCAGCTTGTTTTGCAATCTGGAAAGCTGTCATCATAATTCTAAGAAATAAATCTCCATTAAGTATGATATTGAAATAATAAATACATATTTACATACTTAGTACACACATGTGACGTGTGATTAGTAAATATATACTAAGAATTTTAAAATTTCTGAGGTTTTTTACGAAAAACAATAAAAATCACTTTTTAGTACATACATATTGGTTTGTTTGTGAAGAAAAATATCCAACTGCATATGTGGTGGCAATTAATTAATTCTACACCAAACTAAAATGAATTAGCGGAAGCTAGTCACATCTACGAAAATTAAACCAGTTTAATTTTGAAACATGAGGTTGTCTGCCATTAGCTTTGTATGCAAAAAAATCTCCTCTAGTATAAAACAAGATGTATGTATTTATGTAAATTAGGATGGTGGATAAGATTATTACCGTCCGGTTTAGGGACGCTTTGAAGAGATCTACATATGTATGTACATAGGTAGTTGTTCACGTAGCCTGTTTATCCGAACCTGTTTCTATCTGCAAAACTGTTCCATTAATTCTAATTAATCAAGCTGGACGTTCCTCGCTGATTTATTAAATAATAATCTCCTTGGACACAAATGCAGTGCTAAATATATTCTGTCTTGTCTTAAAAGCCTTGTATCTTAAACTGGTAACGAGTGTAATACGATCTTAATTGTATAATTTATGCTAATACTATGAACATATGGGCACGTGTGTATTTAATTATATGTAGTAAAGCAACATACAAATGTATGTAGGTTTGCTTATATGTATTTGTTAGCTAGATAATCCTCACTTGCAAGAGTGTTTTGGTCGTGTAAAGTTCTAAATAAAATATGTAGCTCATACGTGGAAAAAAGTATTTCACAGCGTAGTTCATTCTTACATATTTGGGTCCCATCCGATTTCAATTGAATTTCAATTTCCAGTTATTTATTTTACTCCTTAGTAAAGGATACATACATAGGGTCAAAGAGGAAAATAATTACCATTCGAAAATAAATATATTCCGCAGAAGAATGCCATCCTTAATATTACCTGCATTCCTAATTCTTCTAGAGATAATTGCCTTCTCGCAAGTTACATCGATGGGTACAAAAAATATTTAATTACCCAATTTAAAATAATGTTACCCCTTTGAAAAGTGCATAAATTCAGTCCAAATTTTATATTAAGCTATACTAAATCTAGAGTATAATTTACTTTGCTTAAGTCATGATAAAATGTATGACTTATTTAATTTAGAATTAAGATGGCGGTTAATTTTCAAAAGGATAGCATTATTTTTAACATTGTACGGAAATCCAAATTTTTTGTAATTGTTACAATTTTTTGCATGTAGTCCGATCACCTCCATCAATAAAAAAGGAGCCTCCTAACGACGAGCTTCTTTTCCAAGTCCCCCGAAAAGGCGAGACAGACCAGCCGTTCATTCTCCAATGCGACGCAGACGGTGATCCAGCCCCTGCCTACAGATGGACGAAGAACGGAAAAGAGTTCAACTGGCTGGAACAAAATGGTAGGATTTCACAACGATCCGGAAGTGGCACGCTGATCATCACTGCCCCCAAAAATGAGGATGCCGGGAGATATCAATGTTTTGCAAGTAACAAGGTTGGCCAATAATATTTAAATTTTTTAAATAGCTTATCGATAACTATTTACAGGCTAAATAATTTTGAGATAAATTGTCACCGGAAGACATAAAAAGCTCTATCTTTGAGTAATCATTACAGAAATGTTTTGTCGTAAATCAAAATGAAGTTAAAAAATCATGCACCAAACAGTCATTACGTCGTTATTAAATAATAAATATTTTTATTCTGGAAAATGGGGGGAAGAACCTACCAGAAAATTCGCACAACCAATTTCCCAAACATGGGCCAAGATTTTTCTAAAATGTGCTAAAATTCCAGACCAATTTCAAAAATTCTGAAAAGGTTCGAAAATATCTTTAAAATGGTCGAAAATTCCCTGAAACTTTCAAAACTTTTTCAAAGGGTGTTCTCATCCCGGCTTTGTTTAATCGTTATCCAAAACAAGAAAGCACTGTAGTGCATCCGCGGGTTACGACTTGTCTACAAGTTATTTAAATAGAAATGCAAATCTGACCATGGTCATGTTGGAATAATCAAAGTTTTGTAAACTATTTAGAGTATTTTAATAATTTCTTGGTAGTTAGGGACAGCCACAAGTAATTCAGTAAATGTGAGGAAAGCTCAAATGGACTCCTTCAACACGGATGAGGGACCCCTCACCACTACGGCAGAAGAGGGGGCTCCGTTCAAGATGACGTGCGATCCTCCATATGCATATCCAAAGCCTAGGATCTACTGGATTTTGAGTGTAAGTTTCCCCCAAAGTTCAGTATGCATTACGACAAAATATCTGAGTTAGCAATTCATTAATGGGCGTAACTTATTTAACAAATTTACAAAGTTAAAAACCACCAAAAACAAAGAAATTGGCAAAAACGATTTGTAAAACTCAAAATACAATCCAATTTGTTTTATGTAGTCTAACTTCCGTGTAATTTGTAGACCCCGCAAGGAGCCCTTCTAAGTATCAACTCGTCTCGGATGACTGTGGACCCTGAGGGAACCCTCTGGTTTTCAAATGTAACTCGAAATGACAGAACCTCCGAGTACTGGTACACTTGTACGGAAAGTATTAATTTTTTGTAAAGTGTACACTGATAAATTCATTCCATTAACTTCCTTTCGTCTAATTTACAGGTTCCGCCTATTCATTATTCGGGTGAGTAGAGGGATATTCCTTGCATCATAAAATAGGTGTCGTAAGATTTGTTCAAATAGCGATTTTATAACATGCTCACTTCCTTTTTTTGAAAAAAATGTAAATTTTATTCAATAGACGTAATAATTTTTTTAGAAATTGCAAACTTAGAATCTTAGTTTTTTTTCTATGAAAAAAGATAAAAGAATGAAAATTCTAGCGTCATAATATTGCAAACCTAAACACTAACGATGTGTAGATGAGATAAAATCATAGTTTAAAAAATGCATGGCGATGAACATATTTCAAAATCACCATTTGAACCTATGTAAATGGAAGATGGCAAAGTTGAGACATAAAACTTTAAGTTCAAAACCCTCATGCAATGGAATTATAACTACTTTTTTGTCCCATACAGAGGTGAATATCGACTCGGGAGCATGGTGTCGTTACATGTCTTGCACACCAATAGTTCCTCCACAGCTCCGAGTTTGCAATACGTCACGGAAAGAAACACTTCGGCCCTTAAGGGAAGCTCAAAGTCGCTTTGGTGCATCGTGGGGGAACGTGAGAAAGATTTATTTTATGTAGCCTTGACCACTAGAAAAAAACTATGGTATTAATTGTAACTGTTCTTGCTTCATAGACCCCTGCCAGAGATACAGTGGACGAAGAAGGGCGCCTTTCTTCCCATTGATGTCCAATTTACTAACTACGGGAAGACGATGACACTCAACAATGTCGATTTTGAAGGTAAACCCAAATTATTACAAAAGGCGTTAGGACATGGTTTTGACGAATTCGCGGGTGAATATCTCTGGCGGGGAGTTGAATTTTGAACTGATTTTTGGTCAGTTGCAAGATAATACTCTCAAAAAGATATGTTTAAAATTTTAGGCCGATAGCTTTATAAATGCCCCCTCCAGTGCCCCCAGAGTTGGAAGGAGCCAAAAAAACACTTTCCAAACTGAATTACTCATATAGCATGATAACCTAAGAGGTCAGAGGTGAATGATTATTAATATTACCACCCTAGATAATCATTGCATTTAATTATAAAATAATCCACAATGAATTACATAACGTTGGGCCTCCATCGTCGCTGATACTTTTTCATGAAAAGTAATCAATCGGACCGTGCATAGGAAAATTGACCTGCTGACCTTGAATGCGGATCCACTCGGTCAAATGAAGATTAAGGGCAAAGCTCTAAGTGTCCCAAATAATATTAAATTAAACAGTGAAGATTTTGTGTAAACAGTTTTGGAGCAGGAACCTAGCGAATCAGCTGTCGCGGAATCCTAAAAAACTCGTGAACTAATTTGGTAAATTAATGGTCAAATTTTTTCGAAAATAAATTTTACTAATCTTTTTGTGTCCCTTACTGCAGAACTATTTTATCTACAAGGTGCAAGTGACAAAATAATAAAATTATTGCGTTTTGGTTAGTTAAATTATTTCTGAAGTTCGACATCGAAAACGACGGGAACTTTTCCAATAATTTTACAAGGTCTGATGAAAACTCAGTCCGTGGGGTGTAACCACTTATCAAAATTTTGTCAAAAGTACTTACAGTGCAATATACTATATGTACCTTGGATAAAAACCACGTTAGGGATTTTTAGCATAAAAGTCGTAAAATGTGGGGGCCTTGAAAGTGGAAGAGTTGCGTTAAAGAGCGCATTCCATTAGGACAAGTATGAAATTAGACTGCAAAACGGACTTAAAAGATAAACATAAGGCAAACGTGGTATTATATAGTGAAAAGCATGCTAAGTCCCTTAATAATAGTCGCAAAGACGATTTTTGCATCAGGACCTCAGAAAAAAATATCTTGTTCAACGCCATTTTATAAGTACACTGGTTTGGAAAACTAAAAAAGGACACCTCTCCAAATTTGACCTTGCCTCATTTCGCAGAGTACACAAAATCGGAAGCCAGATATGCTTACCTATAGTTTGAGACATGGGCTTTCACATAAAAAAAGTTAGAAATCTCTACGACTAAAAACCATCCCGCAATTAAGGTATGAATTCGTCAAAACCATGTCCTAACGCCTTTTGTAGTTATAATTTGTCACTTTAAAAATGTTGAAACAGAAACTCGGTAATGAACTTGAATATTTTTTTTATGATCCTAAACTTGAAGATGAAGGAGATTATAATTGTGTAAGGAAAAACTTGCACAAGCACAAGTAGATAAATAAGTAAATATGTATATTTTTATCTCGTTTGTGTTACGTTCTCAGGAAGCCTCGAACGGAGTTGGTTCGCCCATATCCTACTCGGTCCACTTGACCGTCAACGGTTGGCATCCGACATTTTTTTATGGTTTAATCTTGTCTTAATAATTTATTTTTCATTTAGCCGCCCCGTATTTCATTGTTGCACCAGAAATACAGAATGTTGCGAAAGATAGCAAATATTTGTATTTGCCAGGTCTTGGTAGACTACACTCTTAGAAATCCAGTGTCAAAATAATCCCAAGAGGTACTTATTCGTGTATGACTTGGCCAAAGTGGTATCGATAAGCAATACCGTGTATGTACTACTACCTAATACTTTCGTACAAAAGTTTGACCAAATCGGCTGCAAATTTTACGGCCCGGTATAATTTTAATAAGAAGCTGTAACAACTTTAATACTAAAAAATTTATAGTTTACCAGATTTCTAATAGTGTAGTTTGTCCTTAAATTAAAAAACAATAAGCATAAAAATCAACATTTTATCCTTTATCTATTTAATTGCACAGGGGAAACGGTCGAGTTTCAGTGCAACGGGGGAAAACCGGCCCCAGAAATTAAATGGGTCCATAACGGAAAAGATTTAGCAGAAGCAGAACCTAATCCAAGGAGAGAGAAAGTTGGAAGTTGAAAGATTATTATTCGAAACATTGCGCATTCAGATATAGGTGATAGACTTTGGATTACGTAGTAAATACATAATTACGAAGGGCGAAACCGTCCGTTGAACTTTCATATGCTTATCACTCATTGTGTGCAGGAAATTACGGCTGCAACGCTACCAACATTTACGGATACGTGTATAAAGACGTCTATGTCAACGTGATCACTCCACCTGCAGAAAGTACCGAACAGTTACCAAATGTTCCCACGAGGGGCGATCTGGCAGTGTTGAATGCAACATTCCACGAGATATTGGAGCGTTTTAAGACAGACGTTAAAAATTCGGCAGAGCTACTCAAGACCAGGTTGGATGATTGTAAAAATTTCACGGATAAGAATCACTCCAGAAGTGACTTAATCTCCCCAGACGTGAGTTTGGGTCAAAATTATGAACTTTTTATTAACTTTGAAGCTCCCCGCTTTGAATTTTTAAATTCACAGATTTCTAACCTTTCAGATGGCAGATCTTGTAGCGTCAGATTACCGATTGGGCATACTAATTTCGGAAGTTCGAATGGTATGTGTATACGCGCGGTTTTTCATTTTAGGGATCTTCCATTCCATAAATTGTCACTCGAGAGGGGAAGGGGGTCCAATGATATCATGCTTTGACATAATTTATGGACGTCTCCGTAAAAGGAAAATGTCACGTCCTCTATTAATTATATACAGATAAATACAGACATCTTTATGGGTTCAAAATATCACCAAAAATTCTGTATGACCGCAGTGCAACAATATTTAAACTCTGAAAAATCCGGCAGCCAGGCATTACCATATTTACCATTGTTAAGTAAATTTGTTACTGACTTGTGGTAAATTTTCTGAGGCGCTGGTATTAAATGTAACCGTGGGGTAAACATATATTACATGGCAGTACGGTTACGGACACATTCAAATAACCAGTAGGCAGTGGATGTCACCTAATTTTTTAGAGCGCGTCTCAGAAATAATAAGTAATACCTTTTTAATTATGTATATACAGGCATCTTTAAATGAGACATGCCAATTTGTGAAACAACTTCAAAGGTTTCAGCTGGACCGGGTTGCAATCTTAGATGAAATAAAAAATATTAGTTCCACTGTATTTCAAAGTACGGGCGCCATCTTGGACGCCTATGAGGGTTTGAATTATAAGGTACTTAAGTAATGTTTATATTTATGAGAAATTTATCATGGTCGACAAAATACCTGGTCGAAATTGTTTGCAGTCGTTAGCAACGATTTCTAAGGAACCGATGAAGGCCTGTGGGAATCATTCTGAGTCTGCAAACTCCACCATACGATATGAATAAGTAATTAATTCACACTTTCCTATTTGTCAGGTATTTTTAAAAGTATTCAATTGTTAAAATAAAATCATCTCCTCAAATTATCGTTGATGTTCTTCGTTACATATCGTTAATCATGAAAGGGCAGCTATGCATTAACGGAAAATCTCATGAGACATGTGAATCGATATTTAATATTTATTAAATAACGCCACAATATTTATGAGCTATGTGCGAAAAAAGACCATAAAAATAAAAATCTTCTCAACATTTGTATTTCGGAATATATGTATGTACACTCTACACTATGTAAGAAATTTTATTACCACCCGGTAAATACAGTATGTAACTTATTTAATGCTACGATTTTTAATTTCAAATTCAACTTCAATTTTCTCGAGAACAGGCTGATATTTCAAAATTGTTTTCATACCAATTATTCACCATATATTGGACTACATTGATGCAAATTTTCAAAGTAATGGAGATAAAACTGTTAAATCGGCAAATATTTTAATATCAAAAAAATGCGAATTGCACGTTACATAATTAATGCTACGGGGGTATTAGCGGTTCAATATTTCGTCAGACCCCAATAACTGATTGAAATCGTTTGGTAATCTAATCCACAAACCCTTCGGTTACGCTACGGTCGATGTTTGTTAACTTTTCTGTGATGACGGGTGTGCCGGGGAGCCGTGCTTGTCAGTTTTAATGCTGTCACCAGACGCTGCAGAATTTTTGGGTTATGATCGATCGAGTTGAGGTCAAGAAATTTGAAATTCAGTCCAAAACCTTTGTATCATTGTCCTTGATGCATTTTGAGATGATTTTTGTAATATTTGTCTAATATGCGACGTTTCTGAAAATAAATCTCTGACCAAAGTCTGTCTTTGTTGAGAATTGGCCAATATTTATTTCTAACAAATCAAGGTAAACCTCTTTGGTCATGATCCCAGCGACGCACGTCAATGTTACTACACTGAGGCAACATAAACTGCCCCAAAACTTTATCTCCCTGCAAGATTTCGAAAGTTTCACATCAGGATTTGGCGGTACAAATAGCCCTGATTTCCTTATCTCTGCTATGTTTAATAGCTTGTCTCAGAAATCAATTTCTTAAGACTTATTTGGGCTCCTTCCGCACTCTTATCGTTCCATCTGAGCTAAAAAGTTGAATTAGGGTCTAATCTGAGAACAAAAATTGTTTCCGGTAGCCATGGGATCATCTTCTCTTTACATTGCCCACGCAAAGCGTTTCTTGTGATTATTCGCTAAGATGTATTGTGTGGAATTTGGAATTTCCCCAGATATTCCTGCGAATATCAGCCTGTGTCTAATCATTCATAGTTGTACAGCAGTAAAACGGTCACTTTGAACATCTTTCACAATTTCTGGCGCGGACAGACAAGCATCATTGTCACTGTTTTTACAATCGTCGCGTGCGGGTGTGGTGTTTTACCGGGTTTACGACCCTGACGGTTACAATTCGCTACAGGTCCTGTAGTTTCCGTTTCTCCGGTGAGCCTTGGAACAGATCCTGCGTGTATTTTAAATTGTATCCAAAGTTTCCTTAAAGTTAGGCGTTATTAATGGAGGGAGGTCACTTTCCCAATACTTTGATATTGAGAACGGTGTCCTTTGTAATTTATTTATTTTAATTCGGCAGATTATTTTCATTTGTAGCAGAAATACTACAGAATTGTTTATCCGTTCGAAATTCTGCTCTGTATTTAGGAAAGACTGCAAATTTGTACCGGATGTGTATCGTAGCATTAATTATGTAACGTGCCATTCGCAATATTTTGACATTAAAATATTTGTGTATTCTACAGTTTTATCTCCATCCCTCTGAAAATTGGCCTCAATGTAGTCCAATATATGGTGAAGAATTGGTATGAAAACAATTTTGAAATATCAACCTGTTCTTGGGAAAATTGAAGTTGAATTTGAAATTAAAAATCGTAGCATTAAATAAGTTACATACTGTATATATGACTCTACTGTGCTGGTAGATACTACTATTACTGAGCAGCAACAACCCAATTTTGGCATGAGACTAAATACTGCCTTAAAAGTTAATGATAATGATTAAAATTGCACGATAAATTCGCATATTAAATAAGTTTTTCCTTAATACATAATTTTAGGAACTTTGGTTCAATCTGCCCCAAAATCTTTAAAAACCTACAAAAACCTACAAAAACCCACAAAAATTCCGGAAAAACCCACGGAGTTGGGTTTTTCTGGAAAACACCCCGGGTTCCGAACCCTGCTAAAACCATCATACATAGTTCCAAACAGTAACCGAAATTATGCATGTATTTAATGTCATCGAAACGCATATAACGATTCTCTTCTTTCAATGTCTCATCCCCCAAAGGTTTTGTACAAATAAATGTAAACATAAAGTCAAATTACTTATGCTAGTCACCTCATTTGCATATTTGGACGCATTCGCGAGACAGATAGTTTATTTCAGCATGAAATATGTATTGACAAAAATGGGCACAGTGAGATTTATGCAAATGTGGTGACATTTGCTCGCCTAAGTACATAGGATGATACATATGTACATAATCGTCGAATAGTACGTACTGCTCAAATAAATTTATTTTATTTTTTGTCCAGATTTACTCATTGCCATTAATCCTCAAACAAGTTCAAACTTCCAAAGACAATTGGTCATTGACCTCTGCACGTGCACCAACGCTCAATCCCAACCATTGTGACTACACAGTTCGGTCCAAAAGCGCGGCACCTCGCGTCGAAACTGCCGCCAGACTGCGGATTGGTACAAATCACCGTATTGGATTGGATATCCCCGCATCTTATAAGTGTAACTCCACCATCAGCAAGGCAGGCGTCTGTCATCTCGGAACAGAAATCTAAATGAGTCGGAAAGATTAGAAATATGATACATTTTGCACATCCTTCACCTGATGAACATGCTACATATAAGTAAATAAACAGGCGGAAATTGCGCGTGAAAGTTTTCCCGAAAAAAGGAAAATATACGCTTATCTAATTATTTTTTAATTTGACTGAATCTCGAATTTTAATTTTTAATTTTTCTATAAGCACACGTAAACTGGGAACTTGAAACTGGTATAATTTCTTGAATATTGTACATTAAATTCTACACTGTTTTAAATCTGGTATGGTCCATGTACATGCTGAAGATTCTTGTGCACTCAAACTCCGCCCTGGCTTAGGAGGAGAGACCCTCTACATGTCATCTTCAGATCTTGATGCCCTTTGGATATGTTGGAGTACCCTATGAGTCTACTAACACCCTGAAGTGGTTTGATGCCATGGCCCCATTTGCGCCCGCCACACCCACTCAAAGGTGTAAAAAACACGAAAAAAGCCCTGTTTTCGTGTACTTCAACTGTCACCAAAAATCCAATTTTGCTCGGATTTTCATAAAATTTACATTTTTGTGATCCCAGATACTTGTGTGATGATATCCAGTGGCAATCTCAACTTTTTTGAAATTTTGAAAATTTTCGAATAATAAGCAGACCGAAACTTTGACCCCAAAAAACTCATTGTTCCGGTCATTTCTACTCGGCCAACAAAAGCTGAAAATGTAGCTCTTCTCAAGGAGAAAAATCTGGCATCAGGTTGTCAGACTAGAAATGACCGAAACAAGGAGTTTTTTAGTGATTTGTATGTAGGCAAAAAAACCGCCGATTTTCAAATTTTGAAACTTTTTCTGCATCAAAATGTTTGTATTTATGGGGGAATTAAAATGTCAAATACAACTTGAGGTCTAATTCTTTTTTTACGGAGGGTACATTAGCTTTCTCATTTTTCCCAATTTTTTACCCCCATTTTTTAAGGGGGGGTGGTTGCATATAATTCAAAAATAGCTATGGTAAGGTGATCCATGCAACCGCAGTTCATTTTGCAATTTTTTAAATTAAATTCGGTGGCATCGATGCGAAATACTATAACACCGTATCATTCATTTCATCTCAGGTGTACTTTGATAAGTCCATACTGCTTGGTATCAGTTAAAATTGTGTTTCTATGTAACAGTGCACGTATCAAAATGACATGTTAGCCAGTGTTTCGGGTGCAAGTAACCACCTGCAAGAAATAACCGCCAGAAATTGGTTTCTTGCAGCTATTTTTACCCGCAAGAAATGCAAAGTGCAAGAAACTCCTTCCCGCCGCCATAGTTCTGTAGGCGCGTCGCTAGATGGCGCTGTGTTTCTTGCACTTTCTTGCATTTCTTGCACCTTGCATTTCTTGCATTTCTTGCTTTGCAGTGCAAAAAATGAGAAAAACCCGCAAGAAACGAAACACTGATGTTAGCTCATGCTAAAGAGGGAAGGGGAGGGGGGTGCGGAATGATATAAAAATAAGGATTTTACCTTGTGGGACTTGCGCATCCGTTGAGAAGATCAGCGACATGGCGAAAATGGCGACAAAGCCAATTTTCATTATGACGGGATGCGGGAATCAAGTTTTTCCAGAAGTGAAACCGAAACTAAATTTACAAAATCAAAAAAATCTAAATTAATTATATCATTTTGTTTTATTTTTAGTTTAAAGCTGGGAACACAAATTTTGACAATCAATTAATGCACTTACTTGATCGATAGATTGAGGGAAGATTTGGAATGATTTCCAAATGCAAATCAGCCTCCTTTTTATACGCAGCTCATTAAATTCAATAAAAATTACCAACTAATATTATGCATACATAGTTTATTAATAATGACGATACACATGTACATTTATTTATATTAAAGACGTGTCATTATCTAGGCGTTTGTTGTAGCGTTACTTAAAGTACGTACATCTTTGTCAATTCAGTAATTTGTTAAGTATGGTTTCGTACGGTGAAAATTCTAGTGTGAAATTCATTTTAAATGGCAAGACTAAATTAATTAAATCATTTACACATTCTATACACTCAGGTTTAAACCTAGGTGCATGTTGTACTCATAATTATATATGAGTGTACAAGTTGTTTATGGTGCGTTTGGTACCTGGCGATGTAAGCACTTTAACACAACTTATGTACGTTTATGTGTATGCAGAAATATACATATGTACATACACGAATACATAATAAACGAAAAGCATGCGAAAACAAAATGCAATATAGTTGAAATAGAGCGTTAAAAAATATGCAGACTTCTCGAGGTACACACATTGTACTATTAAAATACCTAGAAATGTCCGCACATTTTTAAGTTAGTAGGTATGTGCGTTGTGCTATGTTTCACAAATGTATGTACATAGTTCATTTTTAATACATATGCATATCTACCAGTGTTTCCCTTAGAAAAACCACCCGTAAGAAATCATCTAGCGGACGAAGTGTACTATAAGGGATTTACCCTAATCAGAGGAATCCGTGACTCTCTAAAGATATTGACCCGTAGCTGGCGCTTGTTTCTTGAGTTGCTCACAGTTCTTTCCTGTGTGAAATAAATGCGCAAGTAATGCAGAAGTCTATTTAAAATCCTTACGAATGCATTATTTAAATATATGTAAAATAGATTTTATTTTCAAGCTGTAAGAAAAATAAATAATTGACGGTGTTACTAAATAATGCCGTCGGACCTAACCTAACCTAGCCAGCAATCATTTAAAAAAATGATTATTTTATATGAATAAAAGATTTTATTTTTTAAATAGTGGCGTCACCTGCATGGGATTGGGATTATTTGGTAACAAAACGTCTCCGTAATCATTAAAAAAATAGGGCGCTATAAATAGTACCTCCGCGGTTGATTATTTACCTCCTAATTTTATTACATAAAACAAGGGAAGGTTGAGACGCAAAAAATTCAAAACTAGTATAAGTATGTACAAGTGCATCTTAAAATACTTTCCCAATATGTACATACATACATACATAAGATCAATGCACAGGATACAAAATTACAAATGTCCACTACTCGCTTGCCTAAAAGATGTAACTTCTTCAACCAGGTCACGAGGATACAAGATTAATATAGTTTGTTATACTTTTATTGGGCGTTTCGACACACAGAGTATAGATTCATACAGACGAATCGAAATCATGTAAAATTATATGGAGCCTGTTATCATTTATCACATCTTATTGAGGTTCAAGAAGAGGGATTCCGTTAACATTCGTTAATACTATTTTCAGATTTTAAGCAAAATTTGGTAACATGCCGTATGTATGCATACAAAGACAATGTTTTCCCCAAAAGTTGTCGCGTTATCGAAATCCAAATAAATTAGCACTTTTTTTCCAAAGACCGTTCATAAATTACTTAGCGCACACATTTTTTTAGACCCCACCGAATTAAAATGTGTCCCATGATCACTGGAGCCTTAAACCCCCCTCCCCCTTCTCACCTAACGTAATTTATAAACGACCCAGAATGCCATGTCGGAACAAAAGTTCCTTACAAATAAATATTCTCGCATACACTCTAGTAGAATATTGCTCAATTTAATTTATTTTGTCCAGATTTATTTACTTTGCACGGAAAGGATTACATAAGATTACCAAATATGTCCCCTATTAAAGTGGTTTCACACCTGCAGATCTGTGCAATCCCATCCTTTTCAACTGCACAGTTTGTCACAAAGGCGTTACACGTTTGCTCAAAATTGTCATCCTTCGGTTCAACGCAAGTCATCGATTTCTCTCGTCTTGTTATACAACTTGTTAGTTTCTCCCGTGTCCCAGAACAGGCGGCGTTCATTATGGCGCAGAAATCTAAAAGTAGGTCGGATCGTTAGAAATACAGGTGGTTTCGACTTGTGGTGGAAACTCTTTTGTCGAAAAAACGGGAAAGTTTTTGAGAATTTTTGAGAAATTGTTGAACAGTTTTCGGAAATTTTCGAGCCTTTTTAAATTTTTACGGGTGTCCTTATCAAGCGTAACGCTTTAGTCACTGGATGAGGAAAACGGGAGAAGGAAATATTTGATGAGAAGATTTGATATAATGAGGATAAACCCGATTTTCATTATGGCGAGATGCGCAAATCAGGTTTTTGCCAGATAATACCTGTACGAATTTCAATTAAATTTCCAAAATCAGATGATTTATAAATTTCCTGGTTTAAAAAATTGAAAGATGCACTTACTTGATTGATAGATTGAAGAGAAGTTTGCAGAATGATTTTCAAATGCAAATCAGTCTCCTTTTTATACCAGGCCTAAATACATATTTGTTCCAATTTGCACAGTACAAGCTGCGCTACTTAACACAAAACACATTTAATGAGCTTTATCATCTACAATATTAATGTGGATTCAGTATATTTTTTTAACTAACACGCGTAAATTAAAGTGTCGATTTGTGTCAAGTAAGATTTCGTACGGTTAAAATTCTAACATTTAATTCTTACTGGAGTTCGCCAACTGGAATATCATCTCAATAAATCGTCATCTCAATCTTGTTTCTATTGATTAAGTTAATAGACCATGAACAATACTTATTTTTATTGCAAATTTAAAATCGCAAATTCTTTATACGTCGTTCAATTAATGTCAATTTCACATTCTACATGTAGGTATAACTTGAATCACTCAGATTTGCGAATTTCCTAAAACTGCACGCACATCAACAAATTGTTTAGGTGTGTTTCTCTGGTACCCCACGATGTCAGCAAATTAGTCGCAAACTTATAGGCGTATACGAGGGGGGACAAAAAGTAATCGGCCTCGCCTAGAAGGAGGGTCATTTTGCCCAACTTTTTTTGTTGGAGTGAAAGATAAACTCATATGTATCTCAGATCTCATAGCTTAAAAATTCACGGTCACGGCCGAGTCGAGGAGATCGTCTGATGTGATCAAAAACAGCGAAACGAAAAAAAAACGAAAAAATTGAGCCCAGGTTTGATACGTAGATTTGGACCTTCAAAACGGAAACATGTACTTTATGCATTTAGTCACTGGGTAATGAACCTAGGTTCATTGTTATGACCTTGAAATTAGAAAAAACAACAAACAGTGGAAGCACCCACCCATAAAGGAGTAAACCGGGAACAGAAATTGCTATGATGGCTTTGGCCACCGGTTTCGGCACTCAGAAGGACTTCTGCTTCTGGACGCTTCGGCTCCGAAAACGACGAGACCAGGTGCCTGTTGTACCTTAATTTTAAAAAATTGAGCCAAGCCGTTGGAGAGAAAAGACGAGAACATAAATCACGTTGCTCACGAAAACGCTCACGACGAATTTTCAGTAAAAACTCCAAACTTTTCAAGGGTTACCATTTTAAACCAAAAAATGTCAAAATTCATCCCCCTTACAGTCCACACCTGGCCTCCAGTGACTGCTGTATATTTCGAAATTTTCCAAAAAACCTCAGGGGAAGGAGATTTCGACGATTGATGAGGTGAAAACAGCGTTTTTGACTTTTTTTCGAAAACATAAAATCGGGATAGAGTATATGAAATTTAGCGGACCAAGTGTGTTGACCTTGCAGGGGACTACATTGAAAAGTTGTAGAGCAAATACCCCAAATTTATTACTGGATCATGGTGAGGCCGATTACTTTTTGTCCCCCCCTCGTACACATGTCAGACAGGCAAAGTAGAAATAAGAATCAACCCATCACGATGAAGTAAATTAAGTATTAAGTAAATATGCAGACGTTTCAAGGTACAATGTCATATGCAATATGTAAGTAAACAAGTAAGTACGGTGTCCCACATTTAAAGTTCTCACGTAGCTCTTTATAATTACTTACCAGGGTTTGCCATAAACAAAATTCCTACGAGAAATGATTTTTTGCAAGACTTATTTCTTGCAGGAGTGCGAGAAATGCAAGAAGTTGTAACCTGGGTTAAATTTAATGCACCACCGAATAAGCTGAAATCTACCACAAATTTTAGCTGAATTCGCCACCGGATGAATTTTTTCCAACTTTAGCCTTTTCAGCCACCGATTTAGATGGTGGTTACCACAAATTTAGATGAGCTGCTATCACCATATTTAATGAGCATAGGATTATAAAAGTAATATAATTTACAATAATATGATTTATTTATTTGTAGAATACGTCTATATACATGTCTCTTTTATAAATACACCTGAAATTAAATAACCTAAGCGCTTTTTTAGCTTTCGCAACCCTACATTCTTACGCTTTTGACCAAATGGAACGGTTTTGGCTACTGGTCTAACATCATAACGCGTATTCTGAACTTCTAAACCAATTATTTCCTTGTGTCCATAATCTACGTTTCATGTATTTACGTTTTGTGGGTTCGATTTGCCGTACAAACGCGAAAGCGGGGGAAAGTTTTCGGGAATTTTCGCTCCATCGTTAGGCTCTGATTGTGGGAATTTTCGTCCCCCGTTGTCCGAGTATACATATTTAACATACATAGGAATCGGACTGACTGTATATTTCCTGTTCATTTTCGTTTTTAAAAGCATTTTCACTTGTGATTTCTGCCCATTTATATGCAGCATGTTCTCCAAGCGAGGATGTGCATAAATAATGTATTATATTTCTAACATTTCCACTTGTTTTAGGTTTCTGCTTGACGATGATAACCGCCTGCCTAGGTGATGCTGGGCTACCACTTCCATTTGTCATGGAAATCGAAGCCAGTTCGGTTACTTGTCTCGGTGCAAGGCCTGGCAATTTCGACACTAGATGCGAGGCTTTTGGACCAAACTGTTCCGCCATGAATTCTGATAGTCTTGCACATGTTTGCAGGTGCACCGGTCAATGACCAGTTGCACATAATTGTGAATTTCTTGAGGATTAAAGGCAATGAAATCTGAACAAAGATAAAATAAATATGCATACATATTTGAGCAATACTATTCCACGATTATGTATTTAATTTACTATGCTCTCACGTTTGTACACTACGATGTTGTGAAGTGTAACCCTCCGGTTTGGTTGAAAATTTAAAATTATGTGGTCCAAGTCAATGCAACCAGCGTTTCTTGAGGCAGTTTGTGCGATGGTCGGAATTTGGCTAACTTATTCGAGGTTAAAGTTTAAAAATGATTCAAGGAAATAGGAGCGGGGTTTGCTTTCTCCGCTTGTGAGAAATCTCCCATATTTTTAATTTTCAGCATGGTTAGGCGCCTCATTTGCATAAATCTCACTATGCCAATTTTCGGGCTTTCCCTGCTGAATAAAAAATGCATGAATGAGAAATTTTGCATCAAGAAAATTAAACACTCGTTAAAATGATTTGATTCCAGCTATAAAACAATCACTCACACACTCTTAGCAAACTGGTAATAATTTAATAAAAAATATTATTACCGAGGGTTTGGTAATAACCATTAATTCCACCACGGTAATAAAATCATTACCAGCTTTTATAAATTTTGGGTAATGGACAATATCGGTAAATGGTAATATTAGTTTTCCCCGAGTGGCGATGACTCCACTCCGCGAGGAATTGAATCAATGCCATATTGTGCTGACAGTCAATGCCGATGTAATTTTACTAAAGAGTAACAAATATACACCAAACGGTGTAAACAATTTTCATAATTTGGTATTGTAATATTACTGGTAGAACCAAAACTGTTACCACATGGACGGAATATTCACGCCATAGCCATCATCATTCCTCGTCATCTACTTTGTAGTTACCTTGGCCGTTAAAGTCAGCGAAGTAAAAATGACCAAATTGGTCAGAGTTTGTAATTTAGCCAGGGGAAAGAAATTAATTATTTCTTCTGGGGATTATGAACAGTTCTTGCGTAGTGGTAAGTATCATTCCCATTAAATTGAGAGCGTGTTTTAAATTTGTGCATTAAATAACTCAAAAATATCTAAAATGTGTGTAATTATTAGTGAAGACCAAATTTCAAGTCGAGACTGACAACGACATCATTTTGGAAGACGACCATGGCGCTGAAGTTGATGAGGAAGTATTCCCTATTCTGTTGGATCAAGGCATAATCCCAGCAATAACATTCAAAATCGTGGGGGAAGACGCAGCTAGTGATGGATCGTACACCCCTCAATGTCAACAAATTTATTACAGTGAGTTTTATAATCTGGATAATATAATAAATAACAATGAAAAGCAAAAGAAATATGTAGCGTTTTTGTGTAGTTAATAGCCCTGCGCCCATTTCGCCTCAATCGCCAGCAACTCCAGCGTCGCCCCAAGGGGAAGACTATTTTAAACAGGTACATACTTACTAGATGTATTTATATGTATCCTAATGGAATTAAATAAAATGCGGAATCAAGTAAATTTTAATGATGTTGCAAATTCTCAGGCTTTAGAAAGTTATATTGAGAGAAAACCAGACTTGAAGGAATTAGTGTCAAATTGTAACGCAGAGAGATTGGTAGACTCGGCGGCCGCAACGAAACTCATAAATGATTTTGTCTCGGTGTTAATTGATTTAAGGGGGTAAGTTTTCCTTGTTGTTATTAGCAGATAATATCTGTCTATAAAATTAATCAAATTAACTTTACAATATATAGGGATTTACCATCCACCTCTGATCAGCTGCGATTTGCCAAGGCAATAATCGAAATTATTCCGTGTTGGAAATACCCGGATTCAATTGATGGAATTGTATGTGCAAAATTATAGCTTCCCTAGAAATTTGAATTTAAATATATGTATATATTATTATTCCCTTATTGCAGGATATTTTGTATGATACTGTGAACCGTTCCGGCTTAATTCAGACTCGTTTACGATGGATTCACCGAAACGTTAAAGAAAAAAACCCTCTAAAATCTTTGAAGCGACCCGTAGCGAGTGGAGCTGGAGCACCCATTTCCAATAAGCAAGACGGACATGTTCAAATTGCTGCTGACGATATCGCCATCGCGGAATTAAATTCCTCACTTCCGGAGGACGAAGTTAGGCGTCTCATGATACAAACCTTGGAGCACAGAAATTATTTGCGAGGCACTAATGAAAACTCAGTCCTCCGGGTGTATCGAAAATTCTTGGAATGCGGATTTCTGGTAATTACTACAAAGTTATTAACTGTATTTAGATTTTTTTTTACCTTAATTTATTGACACAAATTATGATAGATTAACTTCGAGTTCCAGCTGATGTTTCCAGCTAATGCGGCCAAATTTCTGGACACGTGGGAAACATTGAGGGAGCAAATATTAACAAACTGTAAAAGAATCAGCAAATCGACGGCTCTTCATAAATTCATAAACGATAATGCTGGTATGAATATAATATG